AGTCTGTCTTTGTTTGGAAGCTCATCTGAAACCCGTCCACCGTGGATGACCCTGCTGGTTATTTAAAATACCGGTGGCAGAGCCCTCAGAATCTTAGGGCCTAAGCACAGAAAATCTGTAGGAAAGTTAAGAAGCACATAAGCTCTACAATTTAAAAAGTGTTATTATGAATACTATTTTATTTTTACAATAACCCTGTAAATTTTGCTGCTTTCTAAACCTATAAAGTCTGGCTTCTTTGCACATAAACAAATGAAGTATATAGCCATGAACACTACAGATCCACAACATATTCTGTGACACAGGGTACTATACAAACAACATATCCTTGTCTGGTCCTGCTTTTTCATTAAGCATGTTGCTTTAAGAGTGATTATTAACATGCTGAGAGGGTTTCACTTCTCTGTTTGGTCTTCAATCCAAGTCATGATCAATTTATCCATATCTGATATTGGTCCCTTTTGCATTTTCATTAGCCTTTTAGCTTTCAGTGGAGTCAATCCTTAACAGTTTGGAGAATTTTTCCATAGTTTTTTAGAATATTTACACTTTTCAACTATGACATGCATAAATCATGAGCAATAACATTCAGATTTTCTACCTTTGTGTCGTTGAACAATCTCATTTCACTTCCCAATCAATATTTCTCCATTCCCTTTTGCTGCTGTTATCACTAGCACTGGTTTTGCTGCATTTGGAAGTCACAGTGCAATTCACAGTAATATTTGCAAAAGAAAATTTAAAATATAGATAATACTATAATACCCAAGATGTGCACAATACATAAAACTGAATACTACTGCCTACAAGCCAAGCATACGCTGTTATACAATGAACATTTAGACAGAAAGTCTAACACAGTACATACGTAAGCTAGTAACAAAGAAATTCATTATGAATATCAAGACATATAGGGTTATATATGTACTGTAGCATTATACACCTGGCAATGCAATCACTTTGTATATGTAAGAAACATGAGATACACACTTTGTATGCAGGAAGTTACTGTGTTTGCTGCGGTCCATTCTCTGATTGGGGTTTCTGAACTCTAATACAACTTGACGGGACCACGGAGGTATATACAGTCAGTCATTGCCCAGAAAGACATTATACAGAATGTGTATTTCTAAACTAAAGTTCACTTCAATCAACGTACTCCATATGTCCTAAAGTAATTTTGGTAAGAATTTCCCTAAATAGTATAACATTAAGATTACTGTATGGTTTCCAAGAAAATCGATGCTTATCAAGCAAATACCACAGGCAAAACACAAATTCAAGTCTAAATAACAATTTTCAAGGACCTTTAAGTCACAGTTTTCTTTTGACTATAGGATTTCAGAATTCTGGGTTTGGGAGGTATGTTGTTTTAACTTTCCTATACTGCCCTAGGATGTAGCTTTTGAAAATACATTCTTCTTCAGACGATGCTATTGCTATTAGTTAAATTAATCCTTCAGAACGGTGTGAGAATTCCAGTCCCCACTATAGTGCTTTACCTTATCAGCCTGACGCATATAGCAGTAGAGAATTCCTCTCATGCACTTTATAGCTGAATGCTCCAGCTCATGGGTCCTTCCCTTGTCATCATCAATGCGCCTGGGTGAGAGAGATAACCCATGAAACAAATTGGAAATGCATTTGAAAAGAAAGCAGAGCTTTTGATAATTAAGTATTTAACTATCTGCCTAATCCTGTGTTCTGGTGATGTCTACTAATTCTGTCACAGTGAAACTCTACTTTCATAGCATATGTAGACTGTTGCACACACACACACACAAATAAATTCCAAGATGAAACTTGTACAGGTTTCTTATTTAGATACCAATTCTTTTAAGAAAGTAAGGCAATGACTTTACAAATAGCATACAATATTTTCCACATTGCCTTGGACAAAATTTTAAAGACTATTTCTATCATAGAAAAATTCAACAAGAGATTTAAAAAATGCAGTTATGGAGTTGAGACAATTTTTAATACCATTTCCTTTAGATTATGCAATAATCACTTGGATTCAAGGAAGCACAGGTTAAGAAGGTAGATGCCTCCCTTGCTTAGTTACAAATGTAATACAGCTAGGGCAGCACTTTGCAGTCCTGGTGTGGTGCTGTGGGTTAATGCACTGGACTGCATGGTTGGTTTGAACCACAACGTTGGCAGTTCAAGCTCACCAGCTGCTGCTCATAAACCCTATACAAGGTTGTGATGAGTCGGCACTAACGTGAAGGCACTTAACAACAACAACAAAGGGCAGTACTTTAGTTTGCAGTCCAGGATACCTTCAATTGAACATACATCCAGTAATTACTTGGTTTTAGCTACTTGAAATTGTGAGGTATAAATCTCTCAGGAAAAAATAAGTTAGATAAGTATTAATAATGTCAATCTTGAATTAGCAGCATTAGTTTGTTGAGGTAAATTAATAACTAATTATTTGGTACTGAGAACTTCCTTTATGCCAAGAACTTTGATCATTCTTTTTCATACATAAGGGGGCTTCAAAATATTTATGAGGAAATACCATTATCTTTTGATTCCATTTTCCCAAGAACTTTTTGAAGTTCACTTATATTATCTCATTTCGTCATGACAATAATCTCATTATTTTGCTGAGGAAGTTAAAGCTCAGAAATGATAACAACTTATCTATGGTTATGGAGCTAGTTGTAGACAATGAAATAGAATTGTCTTAGATTCTGTGTTGGAAGAAGTGCAGCCAGCCACAGTGCTCCTTGGAGGCCCAAATGGCCACCAAACTTCGTCTCTCATACTTTGGACATATTGTAAGGAGGGACCAGTCACTGGAAAAGGATATAATGTTTGCTAAGGTGGAGGGTCAGAGAAAAAGAGGATGACCCCTAATGAGATGGATTGGCCAAGTGGCAGCACTGATGGCCTCAAGCGTGGCAACAGTAGTGAGGTTGGCCCAGGATCAGGGAGTGTTTTGTTCTACTGTGCATAAGGGTCGCTATGGGTCGGTACCGACTCGATGGCACCAAACAACAAAAGGAGCTCTGGCAGTGTAGTAGTTATGAATCGGGCTGCCATCCTCAAAGTCAACAGTTTGAAAATACCAGCTTTTCTGTGGAAGATAAGGCTTTCTCCTCCCATAAAGATTTACAGCCTCATAAACTCACAGTAGACAGTGAAGTTCAGCTGAAATGGAGAGGGTATAGATGAAGGGAGAGTTATGCTTAAACATCACCCTGAATCCAACAGAGAGAACAGATTGGAGGAAATCAATTTTTTTAAAAATCTAGAGTTGTTGTAGTAATTTAAATAAGAAATAAACATGGAAATACATATTTGAATGCTGAAGTTATAGATATAAATAAGTTTTTTTTGTTTGTTTTGTTTTTCATTAAGAGTATTTCCTACTTAGAGCCGAGAGCAAGATAGTAAAATAAGCAGACACACTGAGTAGACAGACCCTCTGCAACAAAGACACAGGAGACAGAGTGAAACAGACACAGATGGTGGTCCTGGAACCCTGAGCACCAGAAGATAGGGCAGAGGGGTGTACTGAGTGCTGACTGAAAGATGAAGCTGTACAGGAACAGTGAAAGCAAAGAAAAACTAGCAGACTGTGGAATGGCATGGTCCACCATGGCCATCTTGAACTTTTGTGTGTGGCTGTTAATACAGCAGCCTGCAAGCACAGAATGTGGCTAGAGACCTCCAATGTTCCCGAGCCCTCAAGGTAATGGGGTGTGGCGAATCGTTGCCCCTGCTAAGCCAGCAGCCAGTGGTACTCCCTCCTAGGCAGCCTCTGTTCTGCCGAGGGTTGGGATGGGCACCTGGCATAGCACCCCTACTTCTAGAGACATATGAATGTGCCTGCAACTACAATGCACAGAGAACTAACTGAATTCATACTTCCAGTCTCTACCTCATCTACCAAGAGACAGATGGTGAGCAATTGAGAATACACCACTATACAATCATCAATGTCTTAGAGAAAGCAAAAAAATTCAGCCTGCACAAAGAAATATTATTTTAAAAAACTAACGACCATGCCTCATGCCTTGGTATATCATGTATAAGGCATGTTTAGCACAAAATTCTAAAAACCTAACATAAAGATACATTCTTGAAAGCCACAAAAAAACAAAACAAAAAACCTTACTATATTTTCACATATAATGTATCCATATAAGTATTGTGAACAGGAAATTAACACAGTTGGAGTTGTGCAGTTTGCTAAAAACATACAATTATTTGTTATTTGCATAAAATACAGTAATGCAGTCAGAGGTAAAATGATAAGAAAAATGGCTGATTATTCATCAGAAAAAAATAAAAGTCAGAAGACAAAAGACATTACATATTTGAAGCTCTCAAAGAAAACAAAATGCTGTCAACTCAGAATTCTTTCTGCAATTGCTTCTTTAACACCACCATGAGTTTGAAATTCACAGGTCCACTTTTGTTGTTGTTGTTGTTAAGTGCTGTGGAGTCAGTTCCGCCCCCATACCGACCCTGTTTAGGGTTTCTGGGGAGTAGCTGGTGAGCATGAACTGTTGACCTTGCGGTTCAAACTGTTTATGTAGTCCAGCACATTAACCCAATTTTTTAATGCCACATGACGCTAATCATCTCAACATGAGCTGTTCATATTTCTAGTAATTGTGTACTGCACTAAAAAATGTTCTCTCGTGGTTTGCATGTATAGTCAGAATAGGTTCTAAAGGAAGACAGTAACATAGTGGGATTTGTATCATAGGTAGGTAGAGATTTAAAATAGGTAGGAAATAAAATAAAGAGTAGATGTTGGAAATAAAAGGGAATAAAGACAGACATATTGTTGTTAGGTAGCAACTGCAAAAGATTAGGCAAAAGGAGAGTGAAGCGTTCAGCTGATAAAAAGAGAGGGCATATGCACAAGAACACCCACACTTGCAGATAATACCTACTTGACCTAGCTTCAATGAATGGATGACCAGAACTCAACCAAGAGAAGAAGAGGAAAAAAAAAGAGTGATCTGATACAATTTGATGAACTTGACCTACACCTATGGATGCAGTAACCCAAAAGAGGGAACAAATCCTTACAGCAAGAAACATTCCCACTCCCTCCACACAGAGTAGACAGAGATGGGCAACTTGGACATTGGACACCCAAATGGGGGGTGGGGGGGACTACAAAGGCAAGAAATGACTGGCTTACAAGCTTTCAAGAGGGAACCTAGAGCTAGGGGGCATGGAGGAAGGCAGAATCTCCAGTGAGTACTACCCAATCTGTCTAGGTGGCGCTGATGAAATGAAATACAGATGGGTCACTTGTGAAACTATAGTGAGTAACTGTTATCAAGACTGATTATGAGGGTTGCAAATGTAAAGGTAGACATTTTTTAGCAAGGAAGTGAGTGATTAACTCTCCAGTCTAGGAGCGTAGGTCTCTAGGACCATCAACGGAGAAGAGCCGAGAGCAGGACCCTACCCAGAGAAGCAGTGAGGCCTGAGATAGAGGCAGAGATGATGACGTGGAGTGATGAAGCGGCTGGGGACTTTGGATCCTGAGAGGGAGAGTGACTGTGTGCTGAAGACTGGGGGGATGAGGGGGTGGGAGTGTAGGAGGCAGGCTTGCAGGGTATACCCTTTGGTCAGTTGATGATGCATGGAGGGGATTGTAACCATGGCAATGAAATAAGATAGAATGAATGTAAAACTAATGCTCTCCATGTAAACTATTATATAATTCACAATAAAACATTAAAAAAAAAAAGAGTAGACAAAAAGGGAGATGAAGGAAGGAGGAAGGGAAAATGAAGAAGAGTTTAAGAAACTTTGATGAAGTAAAACTGGCTGTATTTGGTTCACTGCTTTGAGTGATTTATATGCATGGTAACATCATTGAGTGAGATTGCTGAAATAGTGGAACAGGTGGTTTGATTCAACTTAGAGTGAACCATTTATTCTTTTAACTTTTTTTTTTTAAAGCTTTTACAGTGAATTGAGTGATAGTCTACAGGAGATATCATCAGTTTTATATTCAACAAATCATTACAAGGATTACAATCCCCTCCATGTACCATCAGTTAAAAGTATTTACACCTCTATTACTCTATTATCATTTTTTTGTTGTTGATGTACACATATCACACTCAAAATATCTATTTGTTTAAATGCCCAAAGGGCACATTTTGCAAGCCAGCCTCCTATCCGTAAGCACACTGCCTTTCTCAGTTCATGGGTCTATAGACCTCTGCTGCTTTATCTCTCTTTGTCATTGCCTCTGCCACTATCACTGTTGTCACCACTTTTCTGTGAATACCTTATTCCTCAGAAACTCTAGAGACTTAATTCTAAATGAAACACATTAACATTGGTGTATCATATACAATAAGCACTGGACTGCCAACCACAGGTCCGCTGCTTCCATGAGTGCTAATATTGGATTCCAGCAAAATGAAACTTCTATCTTTTCTCTATTATGGTGATATGTATTGGTCCATTATAATTAACTTCTCCAATTGCCGATGTCAAACTACTCCTGGAAATGCTGATGTATCACTTTAACATAATATGGTGAATGTCAGGAAAAAGTAAACCATGAATCATTTATATTATCATTCCTTCTTATGCAGACTCAGTGTATTAACAAAGGCAAATCCTGGCAAGAATAACATTGGAGTATATATTGATTCATGGAGGAATGAACTCAATTAAATGTTCTGCATATCATCTCTACCTCATTTAAAAATGAAGAAGAAATCCTAAAAACAAATAAAAAAAAATCACTAACAGTTTTTCTGAAACTGTCTTTAATTTTATCTGCTCCTAATTTCAACAAGTATCAAACCAAGACTAAACGATTCTATGTAATTCAACCACAATAAATAACTCTTCCATTTTAATAAGGTTTTCTTGGTTATCCTTTCTTCTGAAAATACGTTAGGAACAAGAATAATTTTTTTTTTTTTTTTTCTGACACAGAAAGAACATTTATTTGGACCATTGAGTCCTGGAGTGGTGCTCCAGAATAATGCATTGGAAATCAAGGTCAGTTTGAACCACAGGGTCAGCAGTTCAAACTTACCAGCCGCTCCTTGGAAACCCTTTACATGGTTGCTATAAGCCAGTATTTAACAACAACTAACAACAAGATTTAAAGCGAATCTGATGACTCAAAGTAAATCATCTATTTTCTACCAAACACCGACAAGACTCTATTCTCTTTAGTAAGCTAAATTGCATTGTAATTGGAAGATTATTCATTTAGAAAACAAATGAAAAAACTTTTAATTTACTTCTATTCAATAGTTATCACAAGCTATATTGCTGATCCATATTTGTACAATATTAACTCATGATTTTATGTCTAAACTGAATTTCATACTCATCTAACTAGTGAGAAAAGCAGATCCCTGAGATTTATCATTGATGACATTATTTCTCTCCAGACAAACTTGAAGTAAAATAAAATTAATACCAGAATTTTGCTTGGTAGAATTAGATGACTTGAATGTTTATAAGAATTCAGCTACAATCACCTATTATATTCAGTCCTAAAATAGTAGTAAATCTATAGTTGGGAGGTAGCAAGCTGGTTTCCTGCAGGAAGATATCCTTCGTCTCTCCGGTACAATGATGGGGATATCCTATGTCTTCCTTGGATTTTCCTTTTTTCAAATATATATGTGGGTACATAATGAAATGTTCTAAAAGTATCCTTTTAAGTCAATGTTGCTGTTGTTAAGTGCTGTTAACGCTGGTTCCAACTCATAGCAATCTTGTATAGAGTTTCTGAGGAGCTGCTGGTACGCTTGAACTGCCGACCTTGTGGTTGGCAGTCCAGTGCTTATCCTACAGTACCACACCAGGAGTCTTTTAAGTCAATGAAAACTTTTTGAAGCCACTTTGTATATATATATGAGAATAAGTTCAAAAGCATCCCTATAAAATCATAGAAACCTTTATTAAACAATAATATTAAAGCGTGGCACTGTGAGTTTATGCGTTGGACTGCAAAATCAGTTTGATCCACAAGGTTAAGTGATTCAAACTCAACAGCTGCTCCTAGGAAACCCTATACAGGGTCGCTATAGATTGAAACCGACTCGATGGCACTTAACAACAACATCCTATATATCTTTCATCTAGGTTGTTTTTTTTTTTAACCTGTTACATGATTTTTAATCATTATTATTAAACACACTTAATAAAAAAAAAATACAGGAAATCACAGTGGCTATTAAAAAGTCTATAAAATTTCAGATTCAAAAATTACACAATTGTAGAGCTCAAAAAAAGGAAATAACTAGAAAAAAAATCTGAGAAAAAAAGGCTTTAAAATAGTTTTAATAAACTCAAAACTCCTCCAGATTGCATTGCCCATTTTTGTCCTGTGTTCTGCATGACACATTGGACAGGGTCAGGTGATGTTAGAGCATTTGCAAATAAAAGTCGCTAAATCTTGTCTTCAGTTGTGGTGGAAGAGTGGGCAGCAGCTTTTAAACAAGGTTGAATTCTCTCAGGTTTAGTTGGAGAACAGTGTCTTTCATAGCAGCAAACACGAAGCGGATATTCTCTGTATCTATGCTATGGCACATGTGAAGTGGGAGTAGATGACTTTCTCCTTGTCCGGATTCTGGTTTTGGTTTTTTTCCCGTTGGGTCACCTCTCTTTGGAATGGGCACAAATATTGATCTCTTCCAATCAGTCGGCCAGATAGTTGCCTTCCAAATTTCTTGGCATAGATGAGTGAGTGCCTCCAGTGCCGCCTCACTTTCTTGAAAGATTTCTATTTTTATTCCATCAATTCCTGGTGCCTTGTTCTTTGTCAATTCCTTCAATGCATCTTGGACTTCTTCCTTCAGTATCATTGGCTCTTGATCATATGCTACTTCTTGAAATGGTTGCACATTAATCATTTCTTTTTTGGTACAATGACTCTGTGTATTCCTTCCATCTACTTTTTTTTAGGATTCTGGTTCTTGATAAAGCTTCAGGATAAAGTCTCTGGCAGCTTTGACGTCCTGCTTTGGTCCTGTATACTGTGGGAAATAGCTAATTAGATGAGAGTACATGATTTTCTCTTCCAGAAGATCCCTCTTGTTTAAGAACAAAATCACAGAGGAGTTCAGAAACCAGGGTTAAGTAATAATGGTTTTAATTTAAATAAGACTTTGTTTTCTTCCATGGGGTTCTCATTGTCACACTCAGCCAGGACCTGGTCATATTTACTCAAAGCAACCAAGAAAATAATGGAAGTGACACTTTCAAAGCAATGAATCCATTTCCGTCTTTCAGACTGCTGACCATCCAAAAGATGATATTTTCCAAGTCAAAGGAATACTCGATGATCCTGTTGTGGGCACTTGCATCTGGACACATCTTGCTGCGTTAGCACAAAGGACAGTGTGGTGCTTCAGTTGATGTCAGTCAGGTAATATTTGGTGGCGTCTGACAGCTGATACTCCCTCCTGCGGTCGAAGTATTCCTGGATTCCGGGGTCCTGCCAGAGCTGTTTGATGGCCTCGACCTTGGTTCTGGATAACGCTGACACCTTGTCTACTTCCATTTCTTTGCTGATCTGGGCATGCTACTCACTCTATTCACACACATAGTGTATCCTGAGGGTTTCCATTGCTTGGATCTTGGCTTGCATGGCGGTGAATATGTTTTGGTAAACCAGTTTTGTGAATCCCCTTCTATCTTCATCACTATAACCAGATCCATGGATAATTCTCATCTGCTTGATAAAGGTGCTTTTTCCACTTTCACCAGTTCATCATGGTGTGTGGTGGAAGCTGGGTTCTGTTTCTTGGATTACTCTCATTTAGATCTTTGCTTCAATATTCAAGCAAGGAAATGGGTTCATCCAGGTTTTTATACTTTTGAAGGTAGTGTTTCTATCTCTCCCTAAAGAATTCTGCACTCTTAGATTCACACAAGGTCAAACTGGCAGTTACAGCATTCTTGATGCCTCAAATAGTGTTTCTTGTAAATGCTCTATGGGTTTTGGGAATAAGAATAAGTCTAGAAGGACAATGTAGGTTGTCGGGTAGATGGGGTAAGTCCTCCCAGTGAAATTCTAGTTGGACACATTATACTCAAAGAGTAGCAGGTACAATGTCATTAAGGGGGGGTGGGGGGAATCCTTGTAAAGCTTTCCTGGTCCTTTTCTCACTAACACAGTTTCCAATTTTATTATAAATTCTTTATAAAAATCCCCCATGATCATTCTGTGTCCTTCAAGGAAATCTATCAAGATTATCCCTTTGGGATCCCAAAAAGCAATTACAATAGCCTTCTGAACTGTCCTCTCTGCCTTGAATTTAACTGGCCCAACAGATCCCCTAAGCAGCCACCACTTTGATGGGACCTTTTTTTAAAAATGCACTTAAATGAGAGTAAGCAAGTTTAATACTGAAAGAACTTGTCATCCAAAGTAATTCAGTGATTGCATGTTTAAACATGTGTGTTTTTAAATAAACCCCTGCATGAAAGAACTGGAACCCTATTAGAAATACTTTTTTAATTACTCTTGTAATGAAAGAAATACAGAGCAACTCTGTACTGTGAAAAGATGTTCTTTTATCCTTTATATATAATTGGTTGACTTGAAACTGATAGTCCAAATAAATGAAGTGAGTGAAATACTAAACTGAAGTAAACAAAAACAACAAAAAATCTGTTAAATACTCTGGGCCCTAGCTTTTCATCTGTAAAACTGAATCACAGTGAATTCCTCTATAATTGAAATTAGTCAACATAATGAGAATAGACCATTCTTTCTGTCAAAGACTAGTGCTGATTTAGAAACCTAGAGATGAGAAACACTCAAAACAAAGTTATAAAATTTTGGGGATCTTCGAGATACCAACAGAATTACCAAAAGTCCAATTTCGATTGAGCCATAAAATCCCTATTAGCTAAACTTAGAGTTACCACTGGAGTCATGGTGTGTCGTTGTGAGTTAATGTGCTGGACTGCAATGTCGGTATGAACCTCAAGGTGGACAGTTGAGGCTCACCAGTCACTCCTTATATTGAAATCCTATATAGGGTCGCTATGAGTCGGAACCAACTGGACATCACTTAACAACAACAACAGAATTCCCACTAGAGTACACACTAGCTTACCTGTATGCAAGAGCCAAAGCCCAGGCTCCAGCAGCACAGTATAGACTGTCATGGATCTTGGCCTTCTGATCATTTCCACACGTTTTAGTGGGAAACAGACCTGTGGTTGGACTTTGATACAGCAACAAAGTTGACTTAACTGCAATTAAAGACAACACAAAGACAACCATTCATTTTCCTTGGATTGAAGGTTTCAGTACTCTGAGTTGGTTTCCTCAACCCACTTCCAATAATTTTGTTGTTTTTCTAAACTTGACAACAACTAAAAATAGGTGAAAAGAAACAATTTACATTTTGTAAAAATTATCATTAATTCTCTTTTTTTAACTATTTATTACTACAAAAACAGCAGAAAGAACAATATAAGAATACATATCACAATCCTGATTGAAGTTAAGTTGAATTAAACCTTTGTGTTTAAGCAAACAAACAGTCTGTATCTTAGGGGGGAGACAAATGAATCAAATTATATATTATCTGACTGAAGAGGAAAAGTAAGTAGCACAAAAAGCAAACTGACAAAATTGTAATGTAATTGGAGTCCCATGTGTAAGTCAAAAAGTGTTCTCCATCTAGGTCTATATATTTCTGAAGTTGGTGTTCCCATCTCTCTAGCCCTCTCCCCTCAAAATTCAACACTCTTGACAGCTGTGGCATCCTCGAAGGGCTCAAATCGTATTCCTTTTAAGTATTGAGTTTAGGGATCAAAAAGAAGCCTAAAGGGGCTTGATCGGGGTTGTCAAATGGATGGGGTAAGCTTTCCTAATGAAATTCTCATAGCACAGTGCATGCTACCCTAAAAGAATAAGTTCATGTTTGTAGGCACTATCTCAATCCATTTCATTAAATTCCTCTTTTTTGAGCAATGAATACTTATAGAAAATCTTTGTTCTTAGCTCTGGTAACGTTTAGGAAAGTACAAAAGGGCATAGGGGATATGGGTAACAGTTGTAAAATGATACAACATGACTTGCCAGATTCCTTTTATAGCCCTGGTATCGATGTGCAAAAAGTCTTGCTGGCACTCTGATTAAAGTGCTAAGCTGCTAGCCAAAAGGTCAGTAATTCAAACCCAGAAGGCGCTCTGGAGAAGACAGACACGGCAGTCTGCGTCCATAAAGATATACAGCCTTGAAAACCCTATAAGGCAGTTCTACTCTGTCCTTTACAGACTGCAATGAGTCAGTAAGTTGACGGCAGTTGGTCTGTTTGGTTTTTTAAATGTGCAAAAGGAATATATAGCTGCTTAAGCACTGAAATCACCCCAACATCCAAATGATAAAACATCATCCATATAATATATGCAATATACATAGGGCAGAATAAATACTAACAACCTCAGGACATGTTTTCCCCAGGTTTTGCTTACCAATTCTGTAATAATGATCCAGTTTATCCCACAGAGTTTCATTATCAGGTCTTGGAAGATCAATACTTTTAAGAGGTTCATATACTGAGCCTAAAAGAAAAATGAAAGCTCATCAAATTCAGTTATTTACAGCCAGAAGAAAAAAATTAAACGAATGAAGAAACATTGTCTAGAAACCTAATTTTAATTTTTCTATGTGAATTATACTATTTCACAACTGGTAAAATGTTTGATGGTTTATAGAGAAGAAGAGAGCACCTATGTTAACAAGTATAGAAGGGCTCTAAATGTTATGTAACACTTCCACTGTTAACCTGGCAAGAAAACCAATAAACTGATATGTACACAATCAAATATCATGTGGACATTATTAGCTACAGTTCCCATTAAGAAATACATCTACTTACATGCCCTGAAATCAAAACCTTTTTCCTTATATTGATACTTCATGAGGCAATCCTCTATCAAACATTCATACCATAAAAGCCTCAAGGAAAACGATAAGGCTCCCATGTCCCAAGTCATCCACTCCAACATTCACCCACTCTTCATACTGAAAACTGTAAGTTTCCATTTTCTCCTAGATATGCAATATTCTTGCCTTATTATCTGAACTATAAGCAAAGTCAATTTCTACTTTTCAGTCATGAAAACTAGTACAAGGTGCTAACAGAGCACGCTGCTCAAGAGCTACAGAATACACAATCATCACGATAATTTGCCACAAAATGGATACAGAAAACTGTGCACTTGACTGGTGTACTTTCTCAACCACTGATTGAAAAGGAGGCATCCAGACCTTCAGCCATCATACTAAGTACTGTCTCTCATTCTTGTTAAAAGCACTCAGAAATCATAAATATCTCAGGGTCACAATTAGTCCACCTCTGAATTCAGGTAATGCATGCCATATCGTCTAACATCACAGCACAAAAGTGAACCTACAATTTACCTAGGGGGAAGAGGGATAGGGACATTGTGTTTAGATGCATTAAGAGTCTGTTTTTTTCAAAGAAAATCAAAGTATCTATGTTCATAAATTTGTGATGGCCAGTATGCTACTTAGCTTAAATCCGAGTAATGGGAATACCTCTATACTTAGATTTGTTGTTATTGTTTAGGAGCCATCAAGTTGGTACCAACTCATAGTGACCTTACGCACAGCAAACAAAACACTGCCAGATCCTGGGCCAACCTCACTACTGTTGCCATGCTTGAGTCCACTGATGCTGCCACTTGGCCAATCCATCTCATTGGGGGTCTTCCTTTCCTTCGCTGACCCTCCACCTTACCAAACATGATATCCTTCTCCAGTGATCCTTCTCCAGGAGGGCCTGACAATATGTCTGAAGTATGAGAGAAGAAGTTTGGCCGTCTTGGCCTCCAAGAAGCACTCTGGTGGCACTTCTTCCAAAACGGATCTATTGGTTCTTTTGGCAGCCCATGGCACTTTCATAGATGGTAAAAATTCTGAAGGAAGTAAGGAAAGGACCTATGCATTTAGCGAACAATTCCATTATCTTCTGTTGGAAAGAGAAATTATTTAGGAATGAAAATAAAAAATGGGAAATGACATGTTCTGAGTGGAGAGCTGATTTTCTCATAGATTTTCTTATAGTGATTTTTCACAATGATACCAAGCAGAATGGCTTCCCACAGTGACAACTGAGAAGACTTAACCAACATACACAAGAGAACATGAATACTCCTCCTGCACAGGAAGAAAAGGTCCAGTCATGCCCTCAATTTCCCTACATTCAATTACCTATGGGCATGAACCACCTATGAGCAGGAATTCCCAGTGAACACCCTTGCTATTTCGAGTCCTGGTGTGGCACTGTAGGTTAATTGGACCGAGAGGTTGGTTTAAACCTAGAGGTTGGTGGTTCAAAATCACCAGCAACTCCTCAGAAGCCCTAAATAGGGTCTTTATGAGTCAGAACCTACTCAATGGCACTTAACAACAACAACATAGGCAGAAATAAGTACAAAGACAGACTGGCAGTTTAAAAGTAATTCAAATTCCATGCAGATAGGATACTAAGCTCTGACAGTCTATATACTCCCAATGAAGCTCATTAACTATAAAAATTTTAAATTATATACACACACACGAACACAAACTTAGTATCACAGTTCTAAAGAGTAGAAAAAAGTGTTTTTGCAAACACAGATACATAAGAAACAAGATGGTGTATACTAAAAATTTGCAGAGCTACATACATGGAAATAGGTAGGTGAAGAAAGTATGTTACTATCAGTTAACATTTATTTCAAATCTGACTCAAGTGTACTCAAGTGACTCAATTTCTCAAAGGATAGAGAAATTTATTATATAACTAACTCCCTAAAAAAGGGCTATTGAGTTTTGTTTTTCTTCCTTAATTAAAAACAAAAAAACCACCCTGGTGCATTCCTTTCAAGTATTTCTTTAAGTTATATTTAAGCTTTGTTTGTTTTTTAACAACAAATTTGTATAAACATACATAACATTTATGACATAAGGCATCATTACATATTTTCTGTTTTTTCATATTAACACTGCTATTGTTTATAAGTGCTTCTTCCAACACACGTTTCCCAGGAGTGGCTGGGGAGTGTGAACCTAGGACCTTGTGGTTCAAATCAACACTGAAGTCAAGTGTTTATCTTACAGTGCCACTCCAGGACTCCATATTAATATTGGTTTTTTGTTTTGCTTTTATCTTACTTCCTGCTTTGCCATCTTTTATCCTCCTTCCCAGGTAGTTATAATTCTTCCCATGTTTATACACTATTAGGATTCATGGTGTGGCACTGGACTACTAACCACAAGGTCAGTGGTTCAAATCCACCAGCCAATCTTCGGAAACCCAATAGAGGGTCACTAGGAGTCAGAACCAAATTGATGGCACCTAACAACAACAGATAATCATAAAGAAGCACTGGTGTAGCTCTAGGTAAAGCATTTCACTGCTACTCAAAGGGCTGGAGGTTCAATCCCACCAGCTGCTCCATGAGAGAAAGAAAGATGTGACCATCTACTTCTGAAGATTAGTCTTGGAATCCCTAAGTGGTAGTTCTACTCTGTCCTTAGTGTTGGTTTGAATCAGAATTGACTCAAAGACAATGGGCTTGGCAATAAATTGTTTTTGCTGTTGTTAAGTGCAATCAAGTCAGTTCAGATTCACAGTGATCCTTTATAGGGTTTCTGAGGAGCAGGTGGTAACGATCTTGTGATTTGCCATACAGTGCTGATCCTACAGTGCCATACCAGGATTCCTGGCAATGGATCAGTCATAGCAAACCATATATGCATAAGAAGAAAATGTTATTGCTTGTTTTATAAAAATGGGAACATGATATAAGCACATCCTTTCATCTTGCTCCTCTCATTTAACCAAACACTTGGAAAACATTGTGAGGTAAAGATTTTTTCAAATAGCTGCTTTATATTATGTAGACACTGTGCAACTTAATTACTTTTCTATCAATAGGTATCAATTTTGTTATTTGGTTTTGTCATTATAAATAATACTGTGAAAACATCCTTATACAGAGATATAGCCAGTAGCATGCTAAAACCAACTAATACCAACTGGTAAGAGCTAACTGTTAATTTTTCATGAATTTTGGGAACTGATTGTAAAGCATGGACATTATGCAAAACTAAATTATGCTCATGTAAGATTCCAAGTGGATTTCTGATGTGGTGCTGAAGGATAAGCACTGGACCACAAGATCATTTTGAAATGCAAGACAGGTGGTTCAAACTCACCAGCAGCTCCTCAGAAACCCTATACACGGTCACGTACGTTGGAACCAACTCTATGGCACTAACAACAACAGTTCATATAATAAATATTATCCTGCCCTTCAATTTATTTATACCTATCAGAAATGTTGGAAGCATGATGACTGTGGGATAAACACTGGACTGGGAACAACAAGGTCTGTGGTTTGAACTTACCAGTCCTCAATGGGTGAAAGATAAAACTTTCTTCTCTAGCAAAGATTTTTGTTGTTGCTGTCGAGTTGCTACTGACTCATATAGCAAACTGTGCCAATCTCACAACTGTTGCTACACTTCAGCCCATTTACTGCTGCCACTATGCCAATTCATCTCATTGGGGGTATTCCTCATTTTTGATGACCCTTCACTTTACCAAGCATAAGGTCCTTCTCCAAGGATAACTTGGGGATAACATGACCGAAGTAAGAGAGACACTTAAGTCTCATATGTTCACTTCTAAGAAGCATTCTGGCTGTACTTCTTCCAACACATAATTGCATAATTGTTTGTTTTTTGGCTGTCCATGGTATTTTTAATATTATCTTCCACCACAACTAAAACGCATCAATCCTTCTACAGTCTTCTTTATTCACTGTTCAACTTTGATGTACATATGAGATTACTGAAAATACCATGGCTTGGGTAAGGTGCACCTTAATCCTCAAGCTTAGATCTTTGCTCTAAAATTATTTACCCTCTCGCAGTTGAGAAAAAAAAAATTGCCCACCTCTAGTATAAACCGGCCACCACTTGTCTGTCTGTCATGCTGTGGTGGCTTCAGTTGCTGTGATTCTGAGGGCTCTGTCACCGATATTTTAAACCAGCAGGGTCACCCATGGTGGACAGGTTTCAGATGAGCTTCCAGACAAAGATAGACTAGGAAGAAAGAGTAATGAACTATTTCCAAATCACCAATCACTGAAAACCTTATGAATGGCAGAGAAACACTGTCAGATAACAGGTCCAGAAAATGAGCCCTCAGGTTGGAAGGCACTCTGAATGCGATTGCGGAAGAGATACCTCCTCAAAGTAGAGTTGACCATGATGACATGAATAGAGTTAAGCTTGTGGGAGAAAAGCCCACAGAACCTTCATCTGCTGATGGGCCAAAACTCAAAATGAAGAGAAACAGCTGTAAACAACCACTGAATATCTGAACATGGAATGTACGAAGTACAAATCTGGGAAAATTGGAAGTTGTCAAAAATGAAATGGAATGTATCAACATCGATATCTTAGGCATTAGTGAGCTGAAATGAACCGGTATTGCCCATTTTGAATGTGACAACCACATGCTTTACTATGCAGGAAATGAAAA